CGCAAACTGCTTTACAGCAAAATATAGAAAATTACTTAAGGCCTGCAGTACTAAGTACTAAGTTTACAGCCCATATAGTATATTTGATAGACTATAATTAATGTATTTTAAAATTTCTTTATTAAATTTCTGTTCCAAAATTTTGCATATGATACAAAAATACTTTTGGTAGAGGTATGAAGAGGTTTTGGTATAAAGTAGCCCTTTACTTTATTGTGTCTCGAAATGAGAATATTAAAAAATCTAAAATATAAGCAAAATATTTTTAGACTTGTGCAATTTTAGTGTATTTTTCTACACAGTTTAACAATAACTGAGTACAATTTAAGCAGGTCAGTGAAAAATATATTTTTTTATATAAATTAAATATTATATTCCTGCCACCTTATAATATATATTGCGGTAAGGGAAGTAAAAATACAAACTAACAAAATATCGAAACATGCATGATTTCCGTTTCCGTTTCTGATTCTGTAGTGAGGTCTGCATGATTTCCTTTACAGTTAAGAAAGCAGTACAAAGCGATTTATCGTACAATTCGATAGCCTTGACACTGTATTGGGCATTTAAAAAATCTAAGTACATTGGTCAAATTGTAGTATGGAGTATTTTCGCTCCGAATAAGTGACTGGGAAAAAGTATTTATTGCATTGCGCTAAATATTTTGTATCTAAAAGCACATAAATATGCTAAGTCGGTGTTTAAGAAATGAAAGTTTAACATATAACACAACAATCAATATACTTCACACCTTCTCTATTACACCTTATAAGCTTTCAAACTGGAATAAGGGCTCCTTTAGACCACAAATCACAAATGACAAGTAAAGGGTGTGTTTAATGTGCTATCAAAAGAAATCTAAACTTAGATACATAAATAAGCAGTTGAAGAATAAGGTGTATCTATGGTAGTCATCATCAGTATTATTATTAGCAACAATAACGCATACAACGCTAACGAACAATGCCTAGTGAGATATTAACCCATTTTCGGTTAAACAGATACATGTACCGCTACTCATGTGTGTAATTTAATTTATTATATATTATATTTATGAAATATATTTAATATACTTTATGTGTTTAATGCACGCACATATATATATGTATATGGCTTTGCAAATGCGAAGGTCATAAACATTTTTATATCTTTTTAACTTTGTCAAAAATTAAGAGTATTTCATGAATAATCACTTTAATGTGTAAAAGTTTCTTTTTCTTTTTTTTTGCTTTTATACACCCGTACATTTTAATTTAATAATATATTTGAGTCGTTTTTTTTTTTTTTTAATTGCTATGAAAGACTTTTGTAGCTGAAATTAATGAATATTAATTTGAATTAATAAATGCGAAATGTAAAGGTGACGATTTAATTAAAAAAATTTTTTTACAAAAAAATTAAAAAAAAAAATTTTGTAATGAATAATGGTTAACTTTTTGATTAATAAGAAGCAAAATAATTTGAAATATTTAAAAATATATTATAATTATAATGAATTGTAATAAAGCATTTGTATATTTATATGAGAATTATTTTATGAATTCAGTGGCTACCGTTATATTTTTTAAATTTTACAGAATATAATTACAATGATCTTGAGACTCATTAATGAAGTGATTAAATATTATTTTAATTTTTTCAAATTTTAACATAGCATATGGGTGGGAAAATTACTTAAAATTGAAGGCCAATTTCAACTTTAATGATAGAGAAAAGATAAAGGCTTAAAAAAAAATAACAATGTCTTCATTTTAACCGTTTTATAAATATATGTGGCGAATTGTTTTTTTTTTTATCATATTTAAAGTATAACGTATTCATTACACAAATATGATGAATAAAGAAAATTAAATTAAGCAGAGTTTTGTAATTATTAAAAAATAGATCATCTCTATTATGAAACTTTTCGTTTATAAGAGGAATCCTTTTACAAGAGGAAGAGGAATCTTTCTCTTTGTATTGAAGAATCCTCTTCGAACTTTAGAGGGCGTTATTTTTTTAATAAATATAGTGAATATGTGAATAAGAATAAAGAATAGTAAATTAAGTAACTTTATTAAGATATATTGTTTTGTTTAGTTTAGATCTTCAATATATACTTAGCACATATTAAAGAAAAATATTTGTGAAATATAGAGTCTAAAGTTCAAACATGACGGGAAATATTATTCGCGTTTATTATGAGACATTATGTGTGCAGTTCTGCATCTAAAAGTAAAGAATTCAATTACTGAACTAGGTACACTATTTTGACCAACATGACGAGGTTTAGTAAGTTTCGTCATCGAGATTTAAGTTTAATTGAAAGTTTCTTCCGTCTCTCTTTCTCATATTTTTCATTTAGTTGGAAAACTACAACAGTTGGATGGTACCATGACTGTCTGCATAACAAAGTCGCTACGAAACATTCCCTACATTTTGTGCATAATATATGTGGATACTTTTTTTCCATTAAAATATATAATGAAGATAACTGAAAAGATTTGATTTTTATTTGATTTTTATTTATTTATTTTTAATCATGTCTATTTGCGTATTTAATTTTTAATCATGTTTTTTTTTATATTTACAATAAATTGAGATAACTGTTTTTGACTATGGCTTGTTCGGAATCATTTGTTTAAATATTCTGACTTTCTTGTACGATAAACTGCTGAAGCGGATCAATTTGAAGCATATCCAGTTCTCGGTTGCAGCATTAAAGATAATTCTAATAGCTGACCTTTTACTCCATATAGTTGTTCAAATATAAATAATCAAATATAAATAAAAATTTTTTAATGTTATATTAATGTTATAGTGTTATATTTTACTGGATTTATATTGAAAGACTAATAATTTTTGTTTTAAATAATAACAGATATAAACAATAATTTTTAATGTTATATTTAATTTAATAACATGAATTTAAAATATATCTTTTTGGTTAATATAAATTTAAATTGGTGAACTTTCTCCAAATATGAATTACATATTTCCTAGTAATAATTATACTAACAATAATATTAACATACAATATCTCATTTTTAATATTTAATTTAATTTAATGGTTGAAGATATGTTATTGGTTATTAAATTTTAATATCTCAGCTTTAACTGCACTTATTTCATTTAAATTGTTTTTCGAATTACGTTTAACCAACTGAGTAAATAAATAAATTCAATATTTAAATTTGTTTAATAAAATTTAAGTAATTTTCCTAATTTTTATATTTACAAAGTAACTTTGTGTTTATGTCATATTTGCTTATTTAGTTAAAGGTAAATCTATTAAATGTTATTACTTTTGTTTATGTTGAGTTCATTCACTTAGGTAATATTTTCTTGAAAATTTTGTTATTTAAACTATTAAAATGTTTTTACTGTAATTTTTATTTCTGGTAGAGATATAATATACATGGAAGCAATTTTACTTCCACATTTGTCACGCAATCTTGAAGATAAAAATAGTTCTCTGACATGTTAAGCAATTTTGAAATTATTTCCATGTGTCAAGAAGTTCTGAAGAAATTGTTTGTAAAAATATTAAAATAGAATTTGAGAAATTTAAATAAAATTTGTGTCCATAATTATTACTTTGTTTTAATAGTTTCATTAATAGTTTAATTATTACTTTAATATATCATAATGATTATGGGTAAATCTTAGCAGTCATGATTTGCTTGTTGGAATTTCCTGCAAAAATTTTTATATTTCATGTTATAGAGAGATATGACAATAGAACGCAACTAAAAGATTCTTTTCTCATAATTATAGGGATATTATAATATCTCTATAATAATAATATATATTGAAGTTGCCATTGGAATCACTTTACTTTTTTACGGTGAAGTGTCAATCATTATTCACCTTATCAACATTTCGGTTAAAATAAATTACAGTGATCCCCTTTATAACGCAGTAGATTGGTTCCGCGTTATAGGGGTATTCCCGAATACCCCGTAATGTGCAAAGGAACGCGAAGCTAATTAAGAACTGTACAAATCCCTGTTCAGGAACTGTATATAGGGTAATGCTCGTGTTATACGGGGAATTGAAGTCGTGTAATATGAAAAGGTGTTATAAGGGTATCTCATTATAGGAAGGGATTACTGTATTCCTTGTGAGTTGCATGCGATTTCGAATGACTAAAAGACTTATGAAGATACTTGTATCTGAAATTCCTTTTCATCTCTGATTGGATACAAATATCATGTCTTCTAACTTATATTACTAATTTTTTTACTAGTGTAGCTTCAATCAAAATTTCTGTTTATTTGCTGTTGAATAAATTAAGAGAAAAAAGTAAAATCAAAAGCTCTAATTGAAATTAATCTTTTTGTAAAAACTATTTAATTGTGGTGAACAAATTAATAATACTTGTATTTGGAATTCCGCACAATATTAACTACGACTTCGAATAATATACACAAAATTGCTATGCAAATATTTATATTCGTAAAACAAAGTTTTTTGAAGATCGTCTTATATTTGATTGATTTACGTTTAATTGTTTTTTATAGTTTTTTTTCGCGCTTTATCTGGTTTAAGTTTTAAATGAAGCGTAAATGACTCAAAAAACCATTTTCGGTTTAAATTCATTAGGTTTCTTCTTCAATGCTTCGAAGTTGTTCCCATCGAAGATAAATATAAATAATTTATTTTAGTTAACAATGCGAGTAATGATGAACCGCAGTTTCGTCATATGTACGTTTCGTATCATTAGAGAAGATACTTCTGTATAATGGCAATATAGAGAATATATGTAATTCGAACTGTTATAAATTCTGATGCCTTCAGGAAATCAACAAAAGTTACGCTTGTGCAAAACATTAAAAATGGAATGGTTATGACGACCTACAGTCAATCCATTTTTTACTATTAAAACTGTTAGCAGATTTTGGAGTTCGTAAAGTATTTTTTTCACGTTAATTGAATTCGCGTGCAGAAAAATATTTTAATATAATTTTAATTTTTTTAAGGAACACTAATTAATCGAAATTCATCATTTGTTTGTTTACTTCATATTTAGTTTGTTTTCAAATTATTCTTAATAATATTTTTAATTTTAAGTTAATTAAACGCTTATAGAATCGTTTTGTTGTCTTTTGTTTGTGAATTTAAGACATAATTTGAGTTAAATTTAGCTTTTATTTGAAAATTGAAATATAATTAGCAAATAAATGTGCACATTTTTTTTAAAGTTAATGATTTCAGTATATTTCGTATTTAAAGGGCGGCTGTAATTATCATTTACAGTCATTTATAGTCTGAAAGCTATAAGGAAAATTAAGATGTAAAAATTCTGTTGAGAAAATGATTTTTTCCTAATGAAAAATTAATAGCTTTTGTTTTATCTACACAATTTTTGTTTGTTTTAATTTAAAATAATCTTTATGGATTGTTTTTGTTAATATTTTCTAGAATTTATATAATTGTTTTCCTAGTCAAACTACTTTATATAATAATTATTAAATTTTCATGGAATCTTTTTTTTATTTTGTTACATCGCGTGTTAGTTATAAATGAATTTAACTTACAATAACTCAAATATTCAAGTAATTTTTTTTAAATGATAAAACGAATAAAAAAAATTCATATATTAGTATATTTTATTTGATGTATTTAAAAACAAATTAGTATGCCTTGAATTCTAAAGGTATAAATCAAAGATTTTTCACAATATTTTCTCTCTTCTATAATATTTATTTGCTTTGATTAACTTAATCGACTGTTCATACTGCACTAAATGAAGTGTTTCTTTTTTCTTCTTTATATTATAAAATATATGTCCAAAATTTTTTTTCAAAACATTTAAAAGTCAAAATGCAGATTAATTTTTAAAACAAAATGGTAGGATATTCTTTCTATTAAAATTAATTACGAAAACTGACAGGTTTACCAAATACGCTTTATCGAATCTCAGAAAGGTTACAGGTTCCTCGGGGAGGTATGCAGATCTGAAGTCAGTTATAACTTAGTCTGATGAAGTCTGAGTAATAAAGAAAGTTCGCAGTTAATAGAGAGTAAGAGTGCTCAAATACACAGACTTAACTAGCTTCAACATAAAAATAATAAAAGTGAATTTAATTTAATTGAAAAGTAAATATAGTGAATTTAATCACAATATTTATTTTTATCAATTTTATTAAATGTTTGTAACGTTTGAGTATTACAAATATTATAAAAATTCTTTAAAAATTTCATATGCAATCATTTTGCATATAATTTTTTTTTTAATGGTACGGAGGTGCAATTCCTTATGCACCATCAAACCGACAGTCGTTGGAAAGGTTTGTTCGAATACTTAACATTAATATGTACTACACGGATTAAAACATCCCCTCTTCGGTGATACTTATTCCTCCACATAACCACTTTCGCATTAATTCGTGGGGGCCCTCTTTTTGTATATAATATCTTTTAAAATAAAAAGAGAATTAGCTTGAAATTTCTTTTATATTTGTAGAAATATAACGAAAATTTTTTGAATCAACAACCCATTTTTCTATCAGTATCAAAAAACAATTTTATTAAATGAAGTTGTACGTGAGCAAGCCATTATTGTTAAAATGTTTATTATTTTTTATAACATCAGTAAAAAAGTTATTAAAATGTTGATCCTCTTGAGTTGGTGGTGGCCTTTAAAATTAATCTAAATAGTCATGGCGCAATTATACATTATACAACGAAACTTTTCGCATGGGACAATTTTCACCATTTTACTATATTACCATTGACAATTTTGCCATCAATGACAAAGACCAGGTACAGTATTGTATCTCCCCAGAGTCAACTAGTGTTCTAGTTTATACCTATCAACGCTAAAAAAAATTAGTAGGTAATCATTTCTAGCATTAATCTGATATGGTATAGTGTTACATACACATTTCGGGAGATTGATTTCGGAGATACAAGCAGAACGTTTTATGCTTGCAGAAGCTGTTCAAAAGACTTGCACTGACATCATGAAAGGCTATCACTTCAGATGCAATAACTTGTTGAGTATTACTTGGATATCCATGCGAAAAAAATTTGCTATATTCTTAAACTCGTAGTTTTCAGACTTCATTATTTATGTGATCGATATATATACAAAGTTTAGTGTATAAACGTTTTATATTGTGTAAATGAGTAGTTTTTTGAAGTTGAAATTTGAGAATCATAATAATATCAGTAATAGTAGTACTGACAATTTGACAGTTAAATTTCAAATTTGTCAGGAAAATTAAAAATGATTTTTTAATCTCCTCTGTTTTGACATTTTGTAAGATATCTTGTTAGTTATCACCTCACAGCTGAGCAGCTGACAACTTAGAAAATTGAAACAGTTTTAAAGAATACAACTGTAAGTTTTTATATTATAATCTTTATCTTTTATCCAAAATTTTTTATACAGTATTTTTAATTTAAAAATATATCTTTTAATTTACAACTATTATTTAATAATAATTTGGTGTTTTTTTTTTCAAAGAAAATAAAAGTTGTTTTCAATTTAGGTTTGTTATTATCTAATTCCTCCAAGATTATAAAATTTGGATTATAATTTCTCCAACCAATTTGTTATTTGGGTAATTTCACTTTCATTAAAATATTATATTAAAAAAATTTATAGTATTTTATTCACAGTTTGCATAGCGAAAAAAATGATATCCTATTCGGTCATGTTTTTTATCGGAACTATTTGTTTAAATAGTTTTGGCTTCCCTATAGTGTGCACTACTGAATTGGATCGCAAACGGCAAGTGGAGATGTCGGTTACAACATTAAAGATGATACTAGCAGCTGATGTTTTGTACTACATAGTAGTTCAGAATCCATTTCATTTATTCTGAATACTAAATAAATGAAGTGATGCTATAACCAATTTTAATCTTTCTTTTCTGATCATTTATGTATTTATTTGCTTCGCTTTCTTTTAAACAGAAAAATTACTATAGAGGAACCACACAAGCGTAATTTTCCAGTACAGTGCTTCAACTGCCAGGAATATGGACACACCAAGTCATACTGTAAACTTGCTAAAGTTTGTGTTATTTGTGCCAAAATCCATAGCTCAGATAAATGTCCTGAAAGTAAAGAAAACCCAGCAGTTAGAAAATGCTCAAACTGCGGTGATAGCCACACAGCAAACTACAGAGGATGTCCAGTTTTCACTGCTCTAAGACTAAAATTAAACGTTGCCCAAAGACAGCGCACCCCACAGCTTAATCTGCCAAACTTCACAACATCTCATTTCCCGGCCCTTCCACAGAACACTGGTCCTACATTGCAACCACCGGCTCCACCAATGCAGCAAATGACGTACGCAAATGCCATTAAACAAATTCCACTTCTTACCAATAGCTCCACTGTTGTTCCAGGCTTTGAAGCAATGCTCGCAAGTTTTACCCAAAAAATTGAACACTTCATGGACTTCATGCAAAATATGATGAATAGCTTGATGCAAAGCATGATTCAAAACCAAAGTTTGATTGCTGAGTTGGTAAAACCCAAATGAATGCAATCACAATATGCCATTGGAATGCAAACGGCTTAAGCCAACATGTACTGGAAGTAACTAGATTTCTGGTGAGTAACAATATCGATATACTGCTGATATCTGAAACACATTTAACCTTCAAAAACTGTTTTCGAGTTTCTGGATATAAGTTTTATGACACTAAACATCCAGATGGTAAAGCATGTGGCGGTTCTGGAGTACTTGTTAGAAACACAATACAACATTATGAAATTCAAAAGCATTGTTTTAAATACCTACAAGCTACATCAATTTGTGTGATTTCTGGTCTAACTAAAACTGTCGTCTCAGCAATCTATTGCCCGCCCAAATTTGCTATTACTTCTGATCAATTCCGGAAATTTTTTACTGATCTCGGTCCTAACTTTCTAGTTGCTGGGGATTTCAATGCTAAACACACCTTTTGTGTCCTCAGGCCACCCAACATACTGGCCATCAGACAATCGAAAAATACCAGACTTAATCGATTTCGCAGTCATTAATGGTATGAAACGTGAAGATATTGCTGTTAAATCATCTTATGACTTGTCCTCTGACCATTCTCCGGTTATTTTAACTCTGACAAAATTTAATACTAATTCAAATGAGCAGAATAAAAAAACTCTAATAAACTGGAGGAAATATATAAATATAATTAATGAGGAAATAAGTTACAATTCAAATTGTAGTTCACCTAAAGAAATTGATAAAGCAGTTGATCACTTTACCAAGACATTAAATAATGCTGTAATTAAAGCCTCTCAACCAAAAAGATCAGTCCAGTCAAATATAGTATTTCAATCACACATTGATTATCTTATTTCTCGAAAACGACAAGCCAGGCGTGAATGGCAAAGACTTCGATCACCCACCTCAAAACAAAGATTAAATAAAGCTTCAAAAGATCTTAAAAAAGCACTATCTGATGACAAAAACCGCTCTTTACAAGAATATCTCGAGTCTCTTGGTCCACTTAAAGAAAACAACTATTCTCTGTGGAAGGCAACGAAGAAATTTAAAACGCCAATACAAAATGACCCACCGCTTAGAAAACCGGATGGTTCTTGGGCTCGCAATGACGAAGAAAAAGGTTGTATTTTAGCAGAACACCTAAAGGGTGTCTTTCAGCCAAACCCACAATTATCAGATTTCCAACCTAACATCGAATTTCCTTCTATTGTTGAAACTCCCCTTACGTTGTGTTTGGATAACGTCAAGGAGACTATTCGAACATTTGCAAATCCCAAAAAGGCACCTGGATACGACAAAATTACGGGTAAAATGATACAACAATTGCCTGATTCAGCAATAACTTTTCTAACGGTGATATTTAACAGCATCCTCGCTTTTGGCTACTACCCGAAGCAATGGAAAGTTTCAGAAATAAAAATGATTCCAAAAGCAGGAAAGGACCTAACTTTGGCATCATCATATAGACCAATTAGTCTTTTGCCCCAGTTATCCAAAATCTTTGAGAAAATGCTCCTGTCATATATTATGCCAATAATAACTCAAAACAAAGTGAT